TGGCACGCCTGCCTTGCAGTGTATATACATAATGTGACTTTTCATAAACACACTATGTGTTAAGGACTGTGACTGCGTCTTTGTGGCAGGTTGTGTCCTGACAGTATGTATACAACTACCCAATCTACATCTAGTCACTGTCTACCACAGAAATGGGAACACCCTTTAACTATATACACAATACGAGGTACCCTACAAATAGATGTGTAATCATTTTATATGCACAAACAGTGAGCTAAGGTAGTTCTGTGCTTTGTGCTAGTCCCTAATACCATTGTAGCTTTGCAGTTTCGTGTAGCTACACTTGTTTGCTCAAGTAGTCACTACACTATCCCTGTGTTGCTCTGCACAGGATGCCAGTTGAGTTTCATCAGTGGAGGTTGGTCGCCTCAGTACTCACAGTCATGTCAAGAGTCCAGAAACCAGTACTACCCCTACGCTCGGTCATGCCCGACTTCTCTCTGCCCCTCTGCGGCTCCTTAATAGTCAGCCATTTGCAACTCCTTCCCATGCATCTCTGACATCATATAATATCATGCAAGGACCATTTTAAGGGGTTCTGACACTCATTGATAGCGATTGGAAATGGTGTATTTATTAATGCACAATGTGTGAAATTATAGTTCATAGCATACCAGCCATAGGGATACTCAGATAGATATATAATATAGATATAGAAATAAATAACAAACACCACCACCATATTTACAACCCAAAATAATCCACACAAAACACATACACAATACGCATGACATGACATGATAGTCAGACACTGGGTGCCCAGCCTTGAGAACCGGACGTGGGTTAAAGAGTCTTTTATGGCTATGCCCAACTCTCCCCACACACCCCATCATCCAAACTCCACATCACAACACATGACACCCACACAGTGAGTAACTGTACGATAGTACAGTCACGACAACACTTAGAGTACGATACATATAAATATAAATATATAAATATATACACAAACACAGATGGTAGAAAAAATTTGGTAGCATTGTAGAAAATAGAAAAATAGAATCTAGCTTACCTATTGGACGTAAAAAACAAGGTAGAATGACTCACTTGTAGCATGACTCACTTGTAGCAGTAAACACGTAGAAAAACATAGAATGACTTACTGTAGCGGTAAAAACGTGGTAGAAAAATAGAATCTGGAATAAAATGACTTGTGCACGTACCATGCGTTTAGTGGCATAGGCTTACTTAATCCACGCCTCACCCCATCCATGTGGCAATCCCAATCTGTGCTATCATGCCCTTGTGTGTGGAATGCTCTAGTTAACCCTCGGCGCGCATGCGCAGCGAGGGTTACTGTACTTGTCTGTCTGTCCTGTCTGTCCTGTCTGTCTGTTCCGCGCGAGTTCTCGCACTACAGCTACGAGGCGGCCAATGAGTGACACCAACTGGTTGTAAACAACGAGGAGATGGATATAAATGTGGCAATTTTCCTGAAATTACTGTGTTCCAGAGATATGGCGTGAAAGCAAGCGAAAAAGCCAACGTGCGGTCGATCGCGCACGCGCCCTCTCCGGCATGCGCACGCGTCCATGTCAATTTTTGTTTTGTGCCGAGCATGCGCTATGCCACATTGGTTGTATGATCCACAGGCAAACATGCTGAGCAGGTATATTTCGCAATGTAGCATAATAGTTCAGATGGCGAGCAGTTTGTGGATGCAGCCACGCCTTCCCATCTATAAACATCTGGCGAGATCATTGGAGCACAGAAGAGCGGATAGTTGAATAAAGCAAATTGAGAGCCTCGAAACACCTGAACATTGCTCTACCACTACCCGCCCTGTGTTACGGGATACTCGTGTTACTGCGCTCCGTCGTCCGCCATGCATACGCGAGACTACACTCGCGCGTTTAGCGCCGAGGTTTGCACTTTAGTGCTTTTCATTGATATATAAATGTTACTCTGTATTGCTGAAACTTTGGCTGATGAGTGATGACTATCAGAGCGTCGTTAGGCGCTCTATATAGGGATGGCAACGGGTGAATCTCACTTGATCCGCGTACACAACGCCTCAAAACTTGGTGAGAATGACTCACCATTGCTTGAAATCACTACAATAGTCTACAGGCAAATATCTAGCTATACATACCCCCAAGACTTCCTATGTGCCCTCATTCCGCACGAGAGAATTGGTTCTTACGCGATTTGGCGTCATCATCATCATCGTCATCTTCATCTTCCGTTTCTTCTTCAGTAAAACCGATATCTCGTTACCGAAACTATTTGAAGTGCTGATATTCCATCAAACGTCTCCAGGTTCGCCAGAGGTGTGCACGGACATCAAGTGTATCGTTATTTCTTGCCGCAATCACTACGGTAGACGTTGAACTCCTCCGTAGTCACTGACACGCCATTTGGTGGCTAACTCAGCATCAGTGAGCCGCATGCGCCGAGGAGGGCGTTTCCAATGCAGTGCGCGCGCATTACATAGTCTCGCTCGCCCGTAAACCGGGTTCAAGAAAAAAGCCAGGATGCTGCAGAGGAACCTCATCTTCCAGCGCCTTTCTGTAAGTCAGTATACACATTCTTACTCTGCCTAGCTTGCTTTTTAGCTGTTGATTTGCACGCTTGGAAACACTGCGCACGGTTATGCGACAAATTAGCCTTCATTCTTTGTCCCCTGGGTAGCTAAATAGCTATCATTGTACTGAAGCCTGCTCATGAAATCGTCACCGTGTGCCACAACCTAATTGCGTCCTTGTTGGAGACACTACGTGTACACCCCGCTTCAGGCGCAGCAGCCCATTAGCTACTGCTTTCATCAGTTATCTCTACAACATACCCCATGAACATCAGAGTGACTGAAAATGCAGTGTTGTCATAAGCAGTTAAAAATAGTGGAAACAGTGGAAAAAAATCTTTTCTTCAAAATTAAAGGGGGATATAGGGATGGCTTGAAGCACCAAAAAGGAAGAAACAAGGGGTCATGCACAGAAAAGATGCACAAAGCTACATGACACCATCCCTATATCTTTGTTTTATTGTTTATAGGCAACGTTTAATATGAGACAAAGATATAGGGATGGTGTCATGTAGCTTTGTGGCATCTTTGCTGTGTATAATATGACCCCTTGTTTCTTCCTTTTTATAATGTCTAACAGTGTCTAGTAAAGTGAAGAGGACAATGTATATTATAGTTGTTACGTCATTGTTTGCTATTTTCTACTGTCATATTGTTGGCACCACATCTCAACTGCCTCAGTGCAAGAATGTTTATTGCTGGGAGCTCATGTCACGACTTCTTAATACGTGCATTATAAATTATGCTTTGCACAGTGAATGGATGGAATAATACTGATATTGCAAGCCTTTATCACAAACATTTTAAGAACCTAATTTTAATGCCACTCATCAGTATCATTGGGTAAAATAATACACTAGTCATCTGTTAAATTGTTCCTTATTCCGCTAAGAAGACGGTGGCTGGTTTTCACTGGGACTTGACTTACTGAATACTCTCTTCCCATCTGGATCCCTCAACAGGGTATGCATCTGTAAGGACAGATTTGTTCTAACACACTGTACACAACTTTAATGAAATGGATGGGAAATTTGGTATACTAACAGCTGAATTGTAGAGCAGTTATTATAGAGAACAGCGACAATTACCACAATCTACTCTGCTATAGTCTCGTTCACATGTTTCAATTGCCATAAGTAAGGTATTAGCTAACACACTTGTAGAAAGGAATACTGGGATGGAGGGCGGTGTTGTGTCCTACCTTTGACACAAACACAAATGCCATGATGAAAGTGGTCCCAATGAAGAGCCCAACAGTAAAGACTCCAGAGAATCTGTTTTGCAGGCCACCCAGTGTGTACAGTGAGAGGATGGTGATGGCCAGGACAATGCTGGTGATGTATATGGTGGCTGCAATCCACTTGGAGTCATCCAGACCCTTCACCTTTACCTTCCTGGTGGCAAATGCCAGGAACAGACCACACACCTGACAAATAGGATAGTTAACCCTTTGGGCGCCATTTACATATATATATGCACGGAGCCTCCATAAGTGCATAAGAATTTATATATGACTATAATACTAGGCGCTAATATGTTATACATCAATTTCTGCTTATTTAAGGAGACACCTATGGCGCCAAAGGGTTAAGGTAAGCGTTGCAAGGAATGTTGTCTATTTGCCTATTTTACTCCCTCTAGCCTAGTTTGTAAACTTAAACTCTCTCTATAGCTATCCATTTGCTTATATACATATTTTAACTCCCTCTAGCTATTCTGCATCTTTCTATATAGTTTGTGAATTTTAACTGTCTCTAGCTATCCGTTTGCTTACATAATATTTTAACTTCCTCTACCTATTTGCCTCTCTCTTCTCTAGCCATCCATTTGCCTATTTAACTCTCTTTAGCTTTTACTTGGAGGAGAGCCTTGTAGCCATAGAAGATGCCAAGAAAGATGTCTCTGGCCAGAGAGCTGCACACATACACATAGAAATCTCTCGGTATACCTTGGTGCTGGAGCAGAGGAAATACAGTCGAATTAATGGGGGAGCTTATTATTGACACTTTACATGAGTAACCTTAATGCCACAAAAAGGTTTGTGTCAATGGTCAAACCCTCTGTAAATAGAAAGGGGGTCTAGACAGCTCAAATAATAAATAATAAGCAAATTGACGATGTAAGTCTTTTTTATTAGTGATGAACCAAGTGGGCACAGAAGCTGATTGTGAAGCTATAAACAAGAATGGAACAGAATTTACGGGCAGTTCTCTTGTTAGCAACAACACACAAAAATGAGCTGACCAGACCCTGTTTTAAGATATGAGAAGACAGCACTATACATTTCAAAGGGCCTCACTCCTTCCTCAATGTTGCTGGTCTCATCGTCATCGACTCTCTCAGCTCCGAGTACTCCTCGTGAGCCCTGCACGGCCGAGTAGACCACCAACATGGCCAGATCAATGACCAGGAAACACAGGACCATCAGCGTCAGCATCCAGTCGTGCAATTTCTATGTACACACACAGGTGATGTCAGAATTACAGGGTGGCCATTCAAGATAGTGTGGATGTCTGAGCTAATTATGTTGCCTCCCAGTCCCAGTTGATTTTTCATGCCCCTAGAGACCTCTCCAGGGAATCATATACATTACAGTAGAAAGGCAGAGACTCGAATGGTGAAAAGTGTTCCTATATAGGTGTGTACAGCAACACGACATATGTAAAAATATTGACACCCTTTTTCTGAGCCCTGCATAAACCCGGTATACTATGGCATCAGCCACACTCATAGTTTACATCGGAAAATTGCACAATCCCTGCCGTACTTTCTTCTGGGAGTTGGGGTTGTTAAAGATGTAGTAGACTCTCCACATCTTGACGAGGATGGTTCCATAGCAGAGGGAGTACCCGAAGCCAGTCAGCCAGACCTGGAGGTTGCAGAGGACTCCAGCGGCCGTGGCCGTGGTGGCCGGCCAGACCGTGACAGTGATGGCGAGATAGAGGAGAATGGCTCCTGAGCCTATCAGGTAGTTCAGGTTGGGGGATGTCAGTCTGATCAACCTGCCCAGACAATAGACATCCTCATGAAAAGTGTGGGGAAATGGGTAATGAGCAATCCAAAACAGTTACGTTGAGATGCTCGTACATATGCAATACTAGCCATCGAATGCAAAAAAAGCTATGATTGTCTTGCACCATTTAAACTTGTCCATGGATTGTGTGTTTTAGGCGAAAAAAATATAATTCTGGGGTTGAAAAAAAACAGCCCTCCATCTCTCCAAACAGACATCTATGGATGCAGTGCAATGCCAAACTGTACGCTGCCCTTTGAGATGTATGTGGGTCAGTGGTAGTAACCGGAGCTGTTCCCAGCCAATACTTTGGACCACCTGTCAGTTTCAATGCTGGTCCGGGATTCGAACCAAGCATCAAATGCATGCCTAAAGTGGAATGCAAGGTCACATTTTTGGCCAGCTTTCTATGTAGCTAAAAGCATTGCGCAGAGTGTGTGCATGTGTCGACAACGAGGTAGAAAGTCAAAGGCACAAACAACAAGTCAACTACACCCAGGACAGCAAGGAAAAAAAGAAGAGCTGCCCTGCGTGGGATTCGAATCCATAACACTCTGCTGGGAAACTCAGCTGGTATGGGTACAAATCTTCAACACAATAATTATACACCATGACAAAGGCAAACCTCAAACCACTACGCTATAGCTACTCCCACTTAGTATGTAGGAGCAGATTAAACCACCAAAGATGCCCAACTCCAAACTGAGTATATGCTTGTTGTGTCAACATGTACTTCGTGTTTCTGAAGTAGAAGTTGAAGAGGAGGCAGACAATGGAGAAGATGATCCCGGCACATGAGAGGAAGGTCAGCACAACAGTCAGAGCCACGTGAACTGCCAGCACCTCCTCATTCACTGTCACTCCATCATATGGAACACCCCCTATTATTACAGCGTTAATATAGTCAACAGGCAAATCCAAATTCATTTTTTCACACTATGCAATCCTCGTCATGCCTTCTAAGCGCAGTAGTTTCGTGAACATCGCCAGTTATGTGTAGTCCTGCCAACCTGCTGGTAAATTGTATTTGCTTAGCATACTATGGCAAAAATGTGGTAACAGACACACACACACACACACGAACCAAGTACTCACAGTGGTTGCTTAGTGTACTATGGCAAAAATGTGGTAACACACACACACACACACACACACACACGAACCAAGTACTCACTGTAACCCTATTTGGTTGCTTAGTGTACTATGGCAAGCAGACACACACACACACACACACACGGACCAAGTACTCACTGTGGTTGCTTAGTGTACTATGGTGGTAACACACACACACACACACGAACCAAGTACTCACTGTAACCCTATTTGGTTGCTTAGTGTACTATGGCAAAAATGTGGTAGCAGACACACACACACACGGACCAAGTACTCACTGTGGTTGCTTAGTGTACTATGGTGGTAACACATACACACACACACACACACACAGAGAGTCAAAAATCCCATTGTAGTAAAAAACCATGCGCATGCTCATCCACCCGCGCAATAATTAGATTACCACTACTCCACGCGGTGGTTGAAAAAGATGCCAGTAGGTATGTGTATCTAGTTTAATCTTGTCACAACAAGGCAATAAGGGTGTAGGTAAACTTCCTGCGTATGCATACTACTTTTTTTACTGTCACAACCTAAAATAGGACATACAAAAACGGACAAAACTATACCATGACAAACTAAGAGCTTAGCAAGACAAACTGACAATACTGTGTCTATACCAGACTCCATTACGTGGGAGTGGTCCCGCCCCAGTGGTGGTGAGGCACAGGTCGGGAGATTAAAGGGACCGAAACCTATGACCTACACGATGATCTGCTGTGGAGCTCCCCTGATGACTGGTGGATTAGATAAACGACAGACAAAGGAGACAGGGTTTGCTAGCTGTTAGGGGTGGGGATAGGGGTAGTGTAGCACGTGTACCAAATAATAATTAGGTGGAAGCACACTGTGGTTTGTAACTCCATGCACAGCCTGAGTGTATGTCTGGTGGTCTGGCGCTTCGATGACGCCGACAAGTCCCCCCCAGTCTCTGTCACTACACCTCGTTCCCCACAATTCTCTCCCCCTCCTTTCTCTTCTTAACCCATACCAAACACACACGAACCAAGTACTCACTGTAACCCTATTTGGTTGCTTAGGCAAAAATGTGGTAACAGACACACACACACACGGACCAAGTACTGTAACCCGCATGTGAACCAAGGGTAAATAGTTCTACTATGCCTATTTGGCGAACAAACGAAGGAGCTACAAGTCGAAATTCTACAAAACAGAAATAGTAAGGGATGAGAACTTCTTGAAAATCGAAAACATACTTGGCCACACAGTGTCTTCTGTCTCTCCTGGTTCAAAGGTGAAAGTCAAATCAGGAGAAATACGACCCACCACCACACTCTCCAGGTCTCCTGTCATTAGAACCAATCAATGATTCGGTTTCTTACTTCATGTAAATAATAGACAATGGAACACGAGAAGGGGGCGGGGCTAGGGGTTAGACTAGACAGTGGAAAGACAATGGAATACGAAAAACATGTACTTTCGTGAGGTAAACCATGATTTATATGAGTATGACAAATAATATACCAATGAATTTCATTGTACACACCTGTGCTCTGGTTTTTTCTGTACTGCAAGACTATAAACTGTGTAACAGCACGTATTCCATTGGAGTCAAAGTGGACATCACCCTAAAGAGCCAATAAAGAGTAAAGAGAGCAAAATAAACAATGTATATTGAGTGAAAAACATGAGCAGCTTCTGAAAATAAAAAGAAGTGTTTGTTTGCAAAGTTTGGGTGTGAAATCAAAATTGTTCTCATACCTACTTCTCAACTTGGCAAATTGTTGTTCCAAATTTCTGTCGTAGTTTATAATAATAGTCAGCTAACCGGATGTATATAGCCTCTAGTAAGTGTGGGTTTATATAGTTAGGATGTATATTAAGTGTGGGTAGCAATTGCCATGACATTATCTAGCTTACTCACAGACACACCACGAAAGTTGGTTCTCTCTAGATTTTTGAACATGGTTTCCATCACGACGCTGTTCTCATAGGAGAAACTCTCAATCCTAAATGGACCTGTCACATTATCCACATAGTTGTTAGCCATGTCGTTGAGTGTCATGTTTGTGTTCAAATCTATTTTTGAGAAAAAATTCACAAGTAATGTTCATCTTGCTAGCATGAGAAATATGCCACATACTGCAACTGCACTAGATGATTGCTACACTCAGCAACATAATTTGATGCCCATGTAAACGCTCTATAAAGTCAATCAAAAGGAACATATACTTAAATGTTATTTTTTAAAACACAGAGAGCAAACAAGAAAACTGTGGACACGCATATGTAAACGCTCTATAAAAACAATTAAAATGTTAAAAGCAACAAACCAAAATATTATAACTAGGAATGCGCACGCGCATATTTTGCCTTGCGCCTGCCAGCCAATGTGTAAACAGTCCGACTGAGGCCGCTCGTGCGTGCGCTCTACTGACTGCGCGCGAAGCCAGACTTCCTGTACGAATCTGCGCGCATGGCGCGCGGAAGCTAGACTTCTTACGAATGACGGAAGTTACACTTCCTAAACGTGACTAATTGACATTCTTAAGCGTGATGACACGTACGTACGCATATCGCGAGAATACAACCCGGAGTAGTTGCCTCACGCTAACGCGCTCGGCAATATTAAAAACACAGCCTCAGTAGCTCAGTTGGTAGAGCCCTCTCTAGAACACTGAGTGCTCTGCCTTGCTCTGTATGAGTGATTCAGCCCAACCAGCTGAGTTGCCTCAGTAGCTCAGTTGTCAGACCAGAGTGCTCTGCCTTGCTCTGTATGAGTGGTTCAGCCCAGCCAGCTGAGCTGCCTCCGTAGCTCAGCCCTCTCTAGAACACAGAGTGCTCTGCCTTGCTCTGTATGAGTGATTCAGCCTAGCCAGCTGAGCTGCCTCAGTAGTTCAGTTGTCAGAGCCCTCTCTAGAATGCAGAGTGCTCTGCCCTGCTCTGTATGAGTGACTAAGTCTGCTGCAGCTATGTGGTTGCCTGTGACTCCCTTATTTGTACTTGTTAGTGGAGGTGCTCTGCCCGCTCCCTAGCTAAGGAGTAATTTTGGGATGTAAATATACACACGCATGCAAATAGGAGGCTTTCTCAATCTCATAGTAAACTTCGATGGGGGTTACAGACTCACACACTATTAGCTACTCACTATGCAGACTGCTGAGTGAAAAGTCACTCTGAACAAGGTAAACCTCCCTATAAAATATTTACACACAGACATGCAAATCCGAGGCTTACTCAATCTCATAGTAAACCTCGATGGGGGGTATTACACACTCATGCTACTCACTATGCAGACTGCTGAGTACAAGGTAAACTTCCCTATAAAGGAGATTGGTTTGATCAAGTATAGACTATATTATTCAACCTCAGAAAAAGAGACACCTCTGTCAGTAAGAAGCACTGTAATAACGTATAGCTAGAGCTGCAAAATATCACAGTGATATTATTTTTAACATAAAAGTATTAAACACAGAGAGCAAGCAACAAAACTGAACACATACCATTTATGGTGCTGTTGAGAGCATAGGTAAATGCATACATGCCATCATAGCAGTCTGAAGACAAATCGTCCACTTTAGAGATGTTGAGAGGTGCTCTGTTGACATATTCCTCGCTTTCTCGTCGCAGATACTCTCCTATTGTCTAGGTGAAATAATACAACGTAAAATAGCTTATACTTCTTGCAGAAATAAAGAAAAATGTGGTGTTGTTTCGGTAGCTCTTTTGTGGCAGGCCAAAATAGCAGCAGAGGAAGAAGGGTATAGTATTGTATGGGCACTTAATGTACTTAACACTTAACCAGTCACGGACACACAAAATGTGTCCAGAGGCTCCATAAGTCGAATTTATAAAGAGGTTATACTACTAGGCTTATTTAAGCAGATACCCATGGCGTCCAAAGGATTCAACAATGATATTTTGAGATGCTGACTTGCATATTATATTCCCTCCCTTGTTGGCAAGCAAAGCGAGACCACCTATAGTGGTCTGAGCAACATTTTCATAACTATACATCTGACACACATAGTCCTACGCATACCTCACGTAATGTTTTACTCATTATTATTCAGAGATTGATTTTTTTGGACTAATAATTGTGTGAAAAGGGCCTGTCAGATACTTTTATTCTACAGCTACCTTTCTTATCAATATGAAAGAAAACGTGAGTGAGTCCTCATATTGAAATGCTCTCTTTCTTGAACATCACACACAAAATGCGACAAACATGCTATCAAGAAAGTTGTGTACACATAATATACGTATATACCAGTCTTGTAAACAACCACCACACATAATATCCCATAACTTCAAAAGTGAGGTGAGTTTGTGGGTTAGACTTAGTAAGAAACGTGTGGCCACCATTAACTAAGATCACGCGTGCCTGGGTTTACATGCAGTGAGCTGTACGAAAAATGTTTTCCACAGAGTTAGAGGAGTTACACCACAATTATGATAGTGTTCATGTAATTCCACCATACATGATGTTATCATGTGGACAGTTTAACATCAGAAATGTGTCGCATCACCCCTCCACACATGTAGTAAAGTTACTAAATTGAGATTCTTGGGATTGTGTAGTGCATGCACAGGGAAGGTCATTAATAGTATACTCACAATTCCACCCATTATCTTGTGCACAATTCACACACTGTTTGGTGCGTCATGCAGGGGACACAAATGGCCAAATAAACACTAAGTCCAATCCTTGATATTTTCGTATGTGGACTGGCTTCATATACGCATGGCACCAATTATAATTGGTAGACCTAAAAGTGCAATGTGAAAGTAAATTTCTCACATATTGAAAGAGCACAAAGTGCAATAAGAAGCCCGTTATCGACGTGTTATAAAGAGTGCTGCATTCCAAACTTGTTCAACCGAAATAATCTCATCCTTAAGATGTGGGCTGCTGACTAGTGACTTCATAGGGCATTTGAAAGTACACAGAGACTATATAGCAGCCTAACATGAAAGCACATTCCTGACATAACATTTCAAAGTTTAGATGTTACATTCTGGCTTGGTCTACATATCCACCAACAATAGGATGTTAGAATGTGGGTAGAGTGTGTCAGTACACACGTGGAAGGCTTTAATCCTCACCAGGTTGGTTTTTGTGTCTGTGGTGAGAGAGGGGTCCAGGTAGCGTGCAGAGGGTAGGAATACTATGGTCAGTGTGTGCTCCAGCACTTGTTCCATCTGCTCCTGTGTGCAGCCATACTGTTCCACACCGTCCCTCCACCATCCCTCACTGTACCAGGAGATGGTGAAAAACAGGTAGCGAGGGTAGAGTAAGTTGTTCTTGTACGCCTGAAATGAAAAAGTTCGGCTAAGCTGTGCACTTTACACAATATTGTTCAAATGCATGTTGATTTGTAAGGAACCAACACGGTTCTATGTACATTCTGTGGTCGATACTATTGTAATAATCGATGCTAGTTTGCAAAAATTATGGCTTACCTCACACATAATCTGTCTACCAACTGGTGCGTATCCTGCCACAATAAATATCCGAGAACCATCATCCTACATAATATGTTATAACAACATGTTTTGTAAAAAATATGCAAAAAATTACTCTACAAACTGTATTTTGCTCAACTCACAAAAGTATCTCTAGAGAGACCTTCAATGATGTCATCCTCGACAATGACGAGTGTTTCCTCGGTATACTCCACTCCATCCTTGAACAAGTCTTCCTTCAACTCATCTATTGCCTGAGCAAGGGGATCAGCAATATAACCTCACTTCTTACACCCTCAGTGTCTATTTGCCTATTATTACTCCCTCTAACCCAGTTGTAAACTTAAACTCTCTCTCTCTATAGCTATCACATCCCTATAGCCATCTCAATGTGTGATGCAATTGGTGTATAAGAAGTAATGAAAGTAAAAAAAACTGTGGATTCATAAAGTTTTCTATATGCCGAATTGCACATTATTAGTCATCACTGCAGTTTATAGTTAATGTAACGCCCGCTGTTTATGGCTGTAAGACACTTGTTCGCACGTTTCTATAATGCACAACAGGAGGATTATTATGCTACCGAAACAGCAGAGAAATATCAATGCAGGTGTTTGAGAAAATTTCATGTCCACAGACCAAATTACATCCACCATAGTTGTCTCCCTATAATTTAGCTATAATTTAGCATTGTTACAGCAGGTCACACAACCTACCGCTGTGAAGAGATTTTCGTCCTGGACAATAAGAGCCACTCTCCTCCAGTTGTAGTGTCTGATCATGGCGTAGAAGGCGTTGGCCTGGCTGGCGTCTGTCGGGAGGATCTGGAAGTAGCGAGGGAACAGGACTCTGTTCCTGAATGCCGGAGACGATGCTATACAAGACACCTGTACACAGAATGATAATAATTATAATGATACTTCTGCGGTATGTGAAACAAAAAGCACTTATAATTGTTTTTTTTTACAATTCAGTTAGAGTCTCGTGGAAGGATTTGTACTGCACACGTGTGAATGCAGTGTACCTCAACTAATCTATTTTATGTTGCACATGCATGACTCCGACCGCTGCACCATGCGAAACAGTTATAGGAACCGAGGCAGCGGGCACTAGCTCTTTGGCAATTATCTCTCATAGTGTTTCGTGCCAGCAGTAGCCAGCATGTAATAGAGCAGATGTGCACCTTCAACTGTATGTACTGTATGCACCAATAGCTCTTTGGCAATTATCTCTCATAGCGCTTCGTGTCAGCAGTAGCCAGCATGTTATAGAGCAGATGTGCACCTTCAACTGTAGCTATGTACTGTACGTATGCACCAAACAGATTGTGTATAACACACTATTTTGCACCCCGCACCTCAATGCCTACAGCCAAAATGTTTTCGCAATAGAGAATGACTAATTAAACCCCACAATATAATAATAACAGAAGCTTAAGCGTAAATTATTAATCGACGTAAACATTGAGTATGCACGCAAAATTATGGTTCTAGTGTTCTTCTAGGATGGGAACTTATCAGAATACCACACTATAGTCTTTACTATAGGTTGTGGTGAAAGACACCTATTATAGCTACCTGGACAAGGTTGTAGTAATGAGAGATGGCAGCAGTTGGCTCAGTGGAAACCGAGCAACCCGAGCCAATGACCCCGAGTTTATTAGTGATGACTTTATCGAAAACCTGATGGTGGAATGCATTCAGCGCCTCTTTCCTATCACACTGTTGGAGAGAGACAGAGAGCACGGGTATTATACACCAGCTAGCAGTTGGCAGTTGGTCAAGTTGCACACACAGAGAGAAACCACATTGCGAAAGAGAGACAGTATAATGGCCAGTGATAAAAGGTATACAGCAAAGCTCTAGTTCGTATACAGTTGGTAGTAAATGCTGTGTATCTGGCCTTGTTACTTCACGAAACGGATGGCAATAGACATTATTTTAGCTAATGAAGATGCAAAAAGCCTAGGCGACAACAACATGGATTCATCTAATATCGCGATAGTCTCACCGCGGCGTCTGTGAAGACGTAGTGGAGGCTATATCCAGGAAGTAGAGTATTGTCTTGGTTGATAAAGTCCAGGGCCATATGTAGTCCAGGAAGAGAGTACACACTGATGTACTGGCCGCTAAACGACTGGATTAGCGAGAAATAGAGCGGTGTCCGCGCGTCTGGTCCGTTTTCCACTGGAGGATAGATCACATCTACTAGACCAGGTGACGCGGCGTTGGATGAGAGAAGAGAGAGCAGTGACACTAGCAACAATTTCCCCCACATTTTCTCGTGTACGTTCTGCAGGTGAGGTTCAAGGGAGCGAATTTTATCAGTGCGAAATTTTAACAGACTGCGCATGTCCGGCATGTCCGGCATGTCTGGTTCGTCTTCGTTCATAATCAATGGGGTCAGCTTGTCGGCTGGGTCCAATAAAATTACTCTCTCTTGTTTCCTCTGAGTTTTGCGTGATACTTCGCGCGCGCATGCGCAAAGTAAAACTTCGTTCCAGCAAAACACTAGAGAGGCTCATGTTGAGAGTTGCTGTAATTTGGAGCTGGTGCCGCGGGGCTCTGCTGTGCTCGCTATCTCCGCCACCACGCAGATCGCTTCACTTTCACCGTGTTGGAGAAGGCGGGAGAAGTCGGCGGCACGTGGGTCTACACGGACAGGACGGACCGCGATGAATACGGACTCCCCATACACAGCAGCATGAACGCCAGCCGTAGGTTCGTCTGCCTTTAAAAGTATATGCAGGTATATTTCTACGTTCTCATTACGCGTGGTGCAATAATACCAGAAGTTAGCAATTAGCACCTGAGGACTAGAGGTCAATGACACCCATGTTAGCTACAGCGTAGTAAAAGTTCTTTACCTCCAAAAACACCACATTATAAAATCCTATATCTGCGCATGGTCTGTACGAACAAGATAAACGATCGCTCACTTACACATTTGTACTTGTGCCTCACAGAACAAACCTACCCAAGGAGCTGATGGATTTTCCAGACGTTCCGTTCAAAGAAGAGCTTCCTTCCTTTATAGGACACGAGGAGATGCTGGAATATCTGCAGGACTTTGCCATAAAGTTCAACTTCTACGAAGATATACAATTCCACACACACGTGGAAAAGGTGGAGCCAGTGGCAAAGGCAACACTAGCAGACAGTGATCAGTGTGGAACTGCAGGAGCCAGTGGCATGGGTATTAACGACACAGTGCAGTGGATGGTTCAGACCAGAGATCTTGAGCAAGACACTGTGAGAGGGAAATCTATGACGTCGTCTTAGTCTGCAGTGGGTGAGCTTATGATGTATAGAGCAGGGTATGTATACTGAAGGTTTAGCTCACTACGATGCTATGCGAGCTAGCTGGTTGTGGAAGCTACGTACTGCTTTTAGACACTTCACTTGGATTTCAAACCATCTGTGTACGGTTGGTTCAGGCTATGCTAGAGACTTTTTTTAGGCTTGTACAAAAACCATGCAGAGATTTATTATTATGTATAGCTTTGTGCTTAATTTTTTTGCGAAAACCTCAATATTATTTTGCCCCGATATCCTCACATCTATATATACTGCCTGGTAAACATGGTTTCTTCACTGCAGGCACTATTCAAAACCCTACATCCCGGCAGAGATCCCTGACCTCGATAACTTCCCTGGTACTGTGGTCCACAGTCACGTCTTCCGTAGACCTGATCGATATGCAGGGAAAAGAGTCCTCATTGTGGGACCGAGAGCCTCCAGTAGTGACATTCTCCTCCATGTGGCTCCACTAGCTCACTCGGCTGGGAAGTGTGTCAACCACGTCTACAAACATACGTTCAACATTCAGCATCCTTCGATGGTGTTCGTAGGCCTCAACTACCCAGTTGTTCCTTTTTCCTTTCTTCGCGTACAAGTTCGCTTTGTTCTCTCGGTGCTGACTGGCCACATGCAGCTCCTGTCCCAGGAGGACATGCTGGCTGACTGCAGAGCTGATGAATTGGAATAGATTTCCGTAGATTATGACGAAGAGAGTCTGAGAGGTGTAGGAGTGGCAAGTTTAACTTCGGACCCAGAAGTGGATTTTGACTCAAGTTTTAGGGGCAGCACACAAGCATTGTGCATTGGGCAGATGCTAATGACACCCTTTGGCTAAAGTGAGTAGTGCTAGCAAGAGCCGAGCCATCCTACCCCTCACTGATCTGATGTTCTTCCGCACAATATTATTTCTATGGACTCAACATCGGATAACCTGCATTTCCCACATATGCAGCCTCAATTGTTTTAGGAAAAGTTGGGAATTGTATGAGAACATTACATTATGCAGGTTAGGTGTGCAACCTAGGAGTGGTTGAATGTAGAGCTGCAGACTTTATTCTGTAGGTCCAAGTTTGCTCCTGCTTTCACCAGCTCCACAACAACGTTAGTGTGACAACGCCAGGCTGCTGTAATCAGTGACGAGTCTCCAAACTGTGTGACAAGAACTTGTCTGTCTACTTCTAGCAATAATGAAACATTTTGAATACATTGTCCTGAAGGTCCAAATTGGCTCTTGCCTTCACCAGCTCCACAACAAAACCAGTGCTACCACGCCAGGCTGCTAGCATCACTGCTGAGTCCCCTTCCTGTGTGATAAAAGGATCATATTAGACACCACATGGTGCCAGGAGGATTTACTTGGTGTTTTAACGTAAAGTAAGTTTATTAAGTGTGTGTGTGGCCATTAGGTATATTCCTTGTATGTTGAAATGAATGCCTTTTGTGTGACAATGAGCTTGCAGATTTTTCAGGGCTGTTCTTTTTCCGAGAGGGGAGGAGTGGCTAATGTAGTATAGCACCTTATTTTGTAGATCCAACTTGGCTCCTGCTTTCACCAGCTCCACAACAACATTAGTGCAACCAAAAATATTATCTCTACAAAGATGCTGAGTAATTACCTGCAGCCCCTATACTTGTTGGCAGTGCAGCTTACCAGGCTTTTTTGCCACGAACTACCACCGCTGGCACAGCCCTGTGAACGGGAAGGCAGTAGAGTCCTTTGTTGAGCGACTCTGAGGCCATAATTTTTAGAGCTATACAATGGGTGTGCTCCGTCATGAAATTCATGAGTAAAAATAATTCTATGCCTAATGTAAAGGTTGACAATGACATTTCTGCCATGATTAAGATGCCATTGTAGCTTTATGCTATACACATAGAGAAAGCCCAAATTGGAGTGTGCTAGTGTATCTCTCTAGTGATTTTCTCTACCTCCAAAAGATCCAGTCATTATTTAGTGACACTGAAAGCTTCCCCTTGTTTGATGTGCTGGTGATTTTCGGTACAATGATGTGGTAGTTTTTACTTCGTACACTTTTCATCTTCTCCAAATATGCATTTCAATTCAACGCAAAAGCAATGGGTAGCTATCTCCATAGGATATCATGTATTATTAGAGAGTCGGTAGACTCTCTATATAGGGATGATGCGGGTGAAATCTCACGTGATCCGCGTACAAAACGACTAAAAACTCGGTGAAAATAACTTCCTAGGCCTTCAAAACATACTAGCAATAGTCTACGGGCCCATATCTACCTATACATGTCCCACAAGAGCTCATACGCACCTTCAGTCGTCCACGCGAGAATTCGCTCATATGCGATTTCACGATTTTCGTGTCATCATATTCTTCATCTTCTTCTTTAAACCCGCTATCTCCTTACCAGTACCAGTTCAAGCACTGATTTTTTCACTGAAGGTCTCCAATTTCGCCGGAGGTGTGCACGGACATCAAGCGATCGTTTCTTTCTTGCCGCTAGTCACTACAGTAGATCATGGAGCTCTTCCCTGGTCGACCTGAACGACGCCATTTGCTGCTTACTCAGCATCAGTGATCCGCGCGCATGCGCCAGGTAGGGGCGTTGTCCAATGTGCTTGCGAGCGTATTCTACCTGGCGAGTGGGGAGACCTGCAGAGGAACTGTCAGCCTCCAGTACCTTCTGTAAGTAAGTGTGCACATTTCCAACTGGCTATCTTGCTGTTGATATGCACGAAGAGCAACTTGCCAGAGTCTGCGCGGTGTTACGCGCGCCTTGCGGGGCACTCAGTCAAATGGGCCTTCATTGTTTGTCCCCCCCCAGGTTGTAGCCTGATTACCAAAGCCTGCCAATGAAACCACAACCATGTGCAATAATCTAATTACATCCTTGTTGAAGACAATACATGGTATCTAGCAGCCCCATTAGCTACTACTTTCAATTTGTCTATGGTAGCCTATCTACAACATAGCCATGAACATCAGAGTGACTGTAACAATAAATGCAGTGTTGCCAGAAGCTGTTAAAAATAGTGGAAACAAGTGGAAAAATCATTTCTTCAAAATGAAAGGGGGATATAGGGATGGCTGAAGCAAACAAAAGGAAGAAACAAGGGGTCGTTACACAGAAAAGTTGCACAAAGATACATGACACATCCCTAGATCTTTGTTTATTGTTTATAAGCCAAAGTTTAATATTCAAACAATATCAAACAAAGATATTTTTACGCGGATCACGTGAGATTTCACCCGTGTCATCCCTATATAGAGCGTCTACCGACGCTCTGATAATCAGAAGTACAGTTTTTGTTTAAGGGTGGAATGAGGTTTTGTCTCACCATTGTTCACTTTTGCTCCTACCAGCGTATGGATGTAGAAATCTAGTGAAAAAATGCCCACTATGAAAATTAACTTCGGTTGTAATTGTTCCTGAGGGTTATTTTTTGTTGCAGCAACAAAGTAGTGCTAACACATAAAAACAACCAATGTAGTGCTATTAACTTATGTTAAATCACCCCCAATGTTAGTCCCTAACCCAATATACACAGGCTTGGTGCGTGATTTCAGTCTCTTTACCAAAACCTTTGTCTTCTTGGTCCTGACTGCCTCTTCCCATTCTCCACCCTCAACTTTCTTGTACACCACATATTCTTAAACTGTCTCTGGGTTATATACCGGGGGATACCAGCTCAGCTTGATTCAACCAAGCCCTCTTCCGATCGCTTTAACATTCAGAGGCTGGCCAGGAATTGTCTTCAGTATATCAGACAGTTGATTCACACAGTCCTCTCTCAAGAACTTCACTGGCAGCTGGTCCTAGAGAAAGGCCGAGGTAATTGCTAGTGATTTCATATGCTTCTCTTTGGATATCGAGAGTCCTTAATAGCTTCTCGAACCTTGTCTTGGACATTGCTCTTAACCAAAAGATAAGCAAGCACCTTTCCATAGTGCTTCTTTGATGCTGATGCATTTTGCTCGGTGAATTGATACAAGGCTCCTCCACTACGATGGCCGGGAGGGGTAACCGTGCGCTACTGCAGACTGCAATGGAAGTGGAATTGCTACGATGCGTAATTGGAAATAAACGGCAACCTTCCCGCGAGGCTATAAGTCGTAGCCACACACCTTGCGCCCTGGCCAGCGCCATCAGGGCCAACGCTATGCTACGCAAAGCTTCGTCCCCAGGTCGTTTCTCCTTTATCGTAAAAGGGTCCAAGGGACGAGGCTATGCTTAGCCACGCGGAACCACGCCTTCTCGATCAGCGCTAGGTTCCTGCGCGGTGCTGCGCGCGGAAACTGCAACGGAAGGTGGAAATGCGCAATTGCAACTGCAATGGAAGTAGTAAAAGACTACAATCGAAGTGGAAAAACCCGGAGGAAAAACCTACGTATACGTAACCGGCGAGAGGGGCCGTCACGCGTCTCTCACGTGTCCTATTTTCAGCACGACAAGCGAGTTTTTCCACTCGTATTCCCTCGGTTGACCCTAGCCCTGACAGCTTTTGGCATAGCGGACGACCTTGTAAGAGATTATTTCGAGAAGGGCTTCTTGGTACCGGCTAATCCTATGTTTTCTTGCTTAGCGCGGCCGCACAGCAAAAAGGTGTGCCCGGAGAATCGTCTCACACGTGTCGAGATCGCCCTCTTCGATTTCAGTTGCAATTGCGCATTTCCATTTCGTGGCAATTCCACTTCTATTGCAGTCTGCGGTAGCGCAATTTGAAATGGTGACCCTTCTCGGCCACCCTACTCCACTGACCTTCTCTTCCCTGCCATTGCTGTGCCCGCTCTGTTGGACAACACCCTGTAATAGCTGGGCCAGGAGTGGCTGGACTTCCTCGTCGCTGGACTGGAGAGGGTTATTTTTTCTCATAGAAGTCAGGAAATTCTAGCAAAAGACCACATTGCATGCCTAACGTGGCATCGCCAGCTTTTGCAGTGTACATATTGTGGACTTCGTTATAAACACACATGTAATACCCTGTGTTAATGGACTGTGTCTTCGTAGCAGGTTATGTTCCTGACATGGTTATTTTCTACATGGGATCTTGAAGACATGTCCCAAAAGAGGTTGTGCTCCAAACAAAAAGAGAGAGCAACAAATAAAAACCTCTCAAGACCTACCAATATGTTCAAAGACCACCATTGTGAATGTGCCAGCCCCACAGTTCATTTCTCAGAAAACCACTCTCTCTGTACTCTGTACAAATGCAGTTGCGACTGCCTATAATAGTACAGCACACACAATGTGCCAGCGATAATCCCAGGCACATTCCAAACTGCCGAGTGTCACACGATACACTCAACCTCATACACAGTACCGTTTCTCATTCTTTTGCCAGTGCCGATGTTTTGGTTACTAGTGAACCACATGGAGATGATGAGAGACGACGATGGACAGCTCAGCAAAAGGTGAGTGTGTATAATTCACCTGTTTGTAGTGATCTATCTGCATGTTTATTCTGTTGCAGATATGAGTATTAAGTTAAGTGTATATTATATATACTGCATTTTCCCACAGGAGTGGGCGGTGAAGGCTGACCATTAATATTCAGATAAGTTTCTGACCCCATTTGAGTCGGATTTGTGAGTTTTCCCCGTAAACACACACATGACCTTTGAACCATGTGCATAGGTTAGAGATGGAGAAGGCTTCCTTACACGATATTCGGCACAAACATCACACTGCGTTACACGTACTTATTACAGCTTATGAGCATTCACTTTCCCTCGCAGCTTCCAGCCCAGTTTTATTTTATATAAGCACTGCTTTTGTCCACTCTTCTCTCCTACTTACAGGTCACCCACACCAGTCAACAAAGCCGAGGTTGCAGAGTCTGAGTGGCACACATGCCGACAGTCTTTAGTGTCTAGTTCCAACACATAAACGCTGTAGACTGACACCTTGGAATACGGATGATGCATGATTCTTGTTTTATATTATAGTCTGATCACCATGATGCAGCAATCAACCTGTGCTCTGCGTAAACACTACATTGAGTTTTGTACCTGAAGTGGAGGTGGAATACAGCTTTGAAGAGCCAACTGCCATCACTACGGAACTATACCAGCAATGAAAGACCTCAAATACACATGGAAATAGACCGTTCTGAAAACCAAATTGCTAGTGAAAATCAAACACTGTGAGCAGTGATTATAGCTGTCTAGTAATAGATGACAGGAGACTTTCCATGCCCGGAGGAAAACGCACACATTCTTACAAAACCGTCCACTGCACACGCACTACCTACCCCAGCACAGGATTGGAGGAGAAAAAGTCCAAACCCGGCGTTTATTGCGACCCGTCCTGCAACCCCGTAAGAGACCGGGCGAAGTGTCTGTGGAAACGTTTTTCTCTCAGCACGCGCATGCGCTCAGCCACGGTCCGGTTCTGACGCTTATTTCGAGTCAACTATGAGCTAGCGCGAAATAGTAAGTAAACAAGCAGCTGCCATAATGCTTAGATCGACGCGACGCGTACGCAGAAATGGCTTCTCGTTATGGTTAGCAAAACTTTTAAGTGCTCCTAGATTATCTTTGTTCTACACCGCAGGATGGGAAAAACACGGAGTAGGAGATGAATGAAATAAGTAAGATTGCACAAAACAGTGTCCAGTCAGTCAGGTTCTCATTTTTTCTCTCTAGCAAAACCCCCACTCCCACCCCGGATCAAGGTGAGTATATAAATGAAATATAGATATTCAGCTATGCCGTACTCCCCCCTTCGAGGAGTAAGAGTCTCTCCTCTCTCTCTCTCTCTCTCTCCTAGGGGTGAGAGTAAGTTTATGCACAACTTACACACATTTATGCACTCCTCCCCCTTACTTTCTACAGCACACGATGAAGATCGTAAGTTACGCAATGTCATAGCAAGGGTCACACTAAAGTATTTTTCCTTTCCATCCCTACTTTTCCTCTGGGGAGGAGCAGTAAGTTTATACATAATATATGTACAGTAATGCACTTTGTCTGTCCCTCTTTCCGTTAGTTTTGACTGTTTCAGTGGCAGTGGGCCCAGCCCTTGTGCCTCCCCCTCCCCTACCACCCCCTCCCCGCCCAGTTCTCGGAGTGCCGCCTCCCCTACGACCCCATCCCCGTCCAGTTCTCGGAGTGCCCTCCACCCCCTCCCTGCCCAGTCCTTGGACTGTGGGGAGGAGGTGAGAGAGTGGGGGATATGCAAGAGGTAACCTTATTGCATTTAGACATACCCCTGTAGAGTAACGTATGACTATGGTGTGTTCTGTTTCACGCAGGCATAAGCATATTTAAACACTTCTGTTCCTATTGAAGCGAGATCTAGGTCCCCAACGGGTAAAAAGTATTTTTAGCTACAAAAACGTCTTGCTATCTTTCCTCAGTTCTGAGAGGACGAGGACGAGGAGGACGAGGATGAGGAGGACGAGGGCGAGGTGTAATAAACCTGACTTTTAACTTGTATTATTAGCCTCGCTACGCTACTAAAGTACGTTCGAGCTGAGAATGCATGCGAAAGTAGATAATGAGGAGGGCGGTACTATTCGCCTGCAGAAATGTATGGGAAAAGTATGCCGTAGACATGCATGGGATTATGCATAACGTGTGTAGCGAAAAACTACGCAGCGGATTTGAACGTGGCAAGCGCTGAACGAACCGGAGTGTGAAGCGCTACATTTTAACGCCTTATGTCTTCCATTGAACAATTGCAATGTTGAACCTACGACTACAAGCCGTTGACTGCTGGCGATAGTCCGTTCAGCCCCACCCACAAGTGCATTCAGCGCGCGCACGCGCACAGCTTTGTTTATTTGCCGCTAGCTAGATGCTGACAGTGCACAATCCCTCCCATCCATACACATACGGACGAAGAAGCTTCTACTCTCCGCTGGGATCACGAAAACTGCCAGTCAACATCGACGTCGCTTATCTTGACCATGTCTGATCAGGTAGGCGGGTGTTGGTCATGACGGAAACAAGCCTTTTAGATGCTTTTTTAAAAAACATTTTGAGGGCGGGGTATATTCAAGCTAGCTATACCATCCAATATTCTTCCAGTTGGTCATTGAAGACTTTGCCGAAGTCCAGGCGGCTCTGTGGGCCGCCAGATCAAAATGGCACAACATCGGCACCCGACTCAAACTAGATGTTCATGAGCTGGAAAACATTGATGCTGAGCCAAGGTTTGGTCTGGATGACAAGTTCAACCTTATGATCAAGACCAGGTTGAAGAAGATTGAGCCATGCACCTGGAGAGATCTCTATGATGCATTAAATCATCCTACTGTTGCCATGTCTGACGTGGCAAATAAGCTTTCAGCAAAGCTAACAACTGGTAGGTTGAGTATTATACCTACAGTTAGTATCCTGGTGCAATAATTATTCTCCTACATATCAACAGCTGAAGTACCAAATACAAGGGCTGGAGATGCAGCATTATCCATGAGCGGTACATCACTGACTGTGGCCAATACCTCATTTGACAGTGGAGACACCAAAGGTTACACAGGTGTAGACAGGATTATTTTCACTGAGGCAGTCAGCAATTTTACTATCCATTGTTCTCGCAGTCAAGTATTTTTTTCACTGAGGCAGCCGCTAGCCTCGCTCTCTCTCAAAGTGCACATATTTTATGCCAAAGGTTATTGTGCGCACAGAGAGGGGGAATAAAGTTTGTGCCCGCGGAGGGGGGGGCAAAGGTCATGTGAATAAATGAAAAGCACTAAAGTGTAATCCCTCGGCTCAAAATGCGCACGTTACTGGTTTTGTAAGCTAGGTGGGCTATTTCAAAGTGGATCGTAGCAAACAGTTATTTTGCTTAACAGTGTTCGTATTAATGAGGTTCCACTGTAACTACAAAATTGAATATAAGATGAAGGGTATCTGCTATGAGTTCATTAGTGCTTATCAGAGTAACCAAATGACATGTTGTTGCAAGTATGCAGTAACACAGTTCAGCTATGAGCGGAGCATTGTTGTGCATTGAACATGACGGGATAGAGTGTCTGTGCTTTGATAATATATAGCTCAGAGGAATCCTTCAACGTAGAAATGAGAGTTCTTCTTTAATCCTGTCATGTATGAGATATTTTGTGGATAGGAGGGATGGTAATACCGAATTAAACACAAGTGATATACATAGAAACATAGCACTACTCCATAGTGACTATGTATACCACACTCAAAGGCTCTCACATTCGCTTTTTGCATTCTACTGTGCTTCGCTGCTTGGGATATATTGCCAGACTGGGCTTTACGCTTAGATGGGAAGGCATGGCCGCATCCACAAACTGCTCGTCTAACGTGAACTGCTGTGCTACATTGCGGATATACCTTGCTCAGTTTGTTGTCCATCGAGAACAGAGATCAACACTGACAGAGGAGAGAAACTCAAGAACCGCTTGCTCGTCCAAGGTCAACTAAAATTATTATTACTACAAGTAAATAAAAAATCCAGCGAATTTAAAAAAAGAGGCATATAGGGATGGTATAAAAAGAAAGGGAGACAAGATAGGGATTGGATACATGAAGCATGGTTAATGAACAGATATGAGTAGCTACACTGACACCCCCAACCCCATCACACCATCCCTATATTGTTGCCTGGTGTGCTACTCTTATAGGGGTTAAAGGTTACTAAAAGCAAGCATTCTTTCACCGTGTCCTTGTTGTTTTTAGTAACATTTATATGTTGCCTGGTGTGCTACTCTTATAGGGGTTAAAGGTTACTAAAAGCAAGAATTCTTTCACCGTGTCCTTGTTGTTTTTTAGTAACATTTAACTGCCACATTCCCATTTACACTCCACTTGGACTCTATAAGGGTGTTGGTTACTCAGTAGTGCATTGTAAGTTCTGAGTATTGTAATGGTGAATGTTTAATACTTCACCTAGGCAACAATATAGGGATGGTGTGATGGGGTTGGGGGTGTCAGCGTACTCATATCTGTTCATTAACCATGCTTCATGTATCCAATCCCTATCTTGTCTCCTTTTCTTTTTATACCATCCCTATATGCCTCTTTTTTTAAATTCGCAGGATTTTTTATTTACTTGTCTCCACTCATTTTTATATACTACTACGTATTATCTCTGTGGAAGGGGGCAAGCCCCTATAAAAATTAATAATAGAGAAAAAATGCCTGTTGTCGTCATGGAAATGATATGCATACCATGTCCCATCTCCATGTGTGCTGCCGTTAGCAAGTTTTAGGAGTGAAGAAGTAATTTTAAAGAAAAGTGCCTGAGGCTATTTGTTGTTGTGGTCGTCATGGAAACGATGTAATACACATGCGTACCAAGTTTCACCTCCATGCGTGCTACAGTTAGCAAATTTTGAGGAGTGAAGAAGTAATTTTAAAGAAAAGTGCCTGAGGCTATTTGTTGTTGTGGTCGTCATGGAAAAGATGTAATACACATGCGCACCAAGTTTGACCTCCATGTGTGCGAGTTTGAGGAGTGAGGAAGTAATTCAAAGAAAATTGCCTGAGGCCTTTTCGAACAATATGCGGTCGTCATGGAAACATGTAGTTGTCATGGAAATGATATAATAGGCATACGTACCAAGTTTCATCTCTATGCGTCCTACCATTAAGGAGTTTGAGACATGAAGAAGTAAATTTAAAGAAAAGTGCCTGAGGCTATTTGTTGTTGTTTATACATATGTATTGTTGTGTTTTTGATGTTGGATATTGAATACATTATGTATGCAAAGTTTTGTTCACATAGCTCTTACAATTAATGTGAATTACAATAACACAGTATTGCCTATTATAATGTATTGCCTGGGGCACATTTTTAGTTGTTTACAGTAAACAACATTGTTTACAAACAAAAAAGTATGACGTTGCACATGTGGTTATCGATACGCACATTCCTACAAAATTTCATGGCTTTATCTCTTTCAGTTTTTGAGTTACGCTGGTCGAACAGGAAGAAGAAGAAGATGAACAAAACTCCCTATCATAGCCCCATACATCTATGATGCTAGGTACCATGTCAATCCCTATATACTAAGTACTACCGTACTTAGTGATTATTATTATTCAACACACCAGGAAAGATGCAAAGCAGAGATAAGGATATTAAAAAATAAAATAGAAAGAGAATAACAGAAGCTCAGCACCAAAGCAGACCAGTGGCCGACTGGACTATTTCCCTTCGCATGCTCCGGCAAACGATAGTTACGGCAACATACGTGCGTGCGCGATGGATCGCTCGCGTCTGATGCTCCGGCAAACGGTATACACCCACATACGCGCGTGCACGATGGATCGCTCGCGTACGCTTTTTCGCTTGTTTTCACGCCATATCTCTGGAACGCAGTCGTTTCAGGAAAATCGCCACATTCATATCCATCTTCTCGTTGTTCACAACCCGTTGGTGCCACTCATTGGCTGCCTTGTAGCCTGTAGTACGAGAACTCGCGCGACAGACAGACAGACAGACAGACAGAATGACAGAACGACTACCGTAACCCTCGCTGCGCATGCGCGCCGAGGGTTAATTATGTGCGCGGAGAGGGGGAGCAAAATAAATTGTGTGCACGGAGAGGGTGAGCCTAGGAACGAGGCCAGCAATGTCTCTAACACCAGTGAGTTTACATTTCTTGTTATTCAGCAAAAAGTAGGGGTTTGAATCCAAGGATTTTTCCCTCTCCTTCTGACTTTCATCTGGCATCTCACCTCCAAACCAGTAGTAATCACAGCCATATGCTGGCTTTTATTCAAGTTTTGGACTGAAAATAATGATGGCCAGTGTTTGCCCATTCACACTGTGGGGGGATGAGTAATATTATAGGTATCTCAGAGGATGAGGACTCAGTCCAGCATTGCCCCAGATGCTACACACTTTATCGCTGCTAGCCTAAGCAAGAATCTGGCTTTAGCTAGACCATGTAGTGTGCCCACAAGATCATCTGTGCTATGCATATTTTGCCTTATTGCATGTGCTAAGTTCACGCTGCCAATATAGCTACATGCACACATTCCTTTTGTAACAAGGGTATTTAGTGCTTTTCATTTTAACATTAGACCAAGAAGTAAAAATGACAAAAGCAAAGATTGATAAGTTGCAGAAAGAATACATTGGCTTAATCCGTTTGTGCTGCTAAAGAAATGGTTAGTAACGTCGCCGTTGAGAATTTGAGTTACTCCCTCCTCTGTCTTCCATCTAATCTCAAAAAAGAGCACAAAATGTTCCTCAGGGAAGCAAAGGCTGATATCAAGGAAGGTTAGGTTAGAGAACGACCTTGTTTTCAGTGGTGCATGCATCATGAACACCTGTGATAAAATTTTAGGTTTTAGAATCCAAAACACAAAAGCCTGTCTACCTACAACTGTTTTCTCCTTTCCTTATGTGTGCCTTGCATGCGCGTATAACAGGGCGGAGTCCCTGAAAGGAGCAAGACTTCCGTGATAGCGGCTCCTGACCTCTCAGTCTCTGAGATCAGCGTTGAGGGAGAGGCACAGTAGTAGCCATACTGAATGAGAGTTTACTGTGCCACAGCACAGTGGTTTGAGGTTTGCCTTTGTGTTGTGTTGTAGATTCGAACCACTACCAGCTGAGTTGCCCTGGTATATAGCTCAGTTGGTAGAGTGCTTGCCTAGACTGCAGAGTGTCGTGGGCTTGAAGGGCAGCTCTTTCTTTTTCCTTGAAAAGCACTAAAGTGCAAACCCTCGGCGAACTGCGTATGCGCGGTACCGCTAATGGATGGGCTGGCTATTGGCGTTTACTCGCGGTCTCCCGCTAGTAGCTTGCGGAGAGTCTGACACTGGCTAGCTACAGTAGTAGATAGCATGCGGGAGTCGATACACGCCTTTCGCTGTGGCTTCTTGTGCCTCCAAGGTACACAGAGCAAGCAGATCAGGTCGAGGAGAGCCAGCATACTGCGTTAATCGCGTCTAATACATGCATGCGCACAGCTTATTGATGGGTTGGGCCACGCAACACTGTCCGCGACCGTGTCAGTTTGTCGCTCGTTGAACGCAGTCGTTTCAGCAAAAATCACCATTTAATTTTTATAGCCCATGTACCGCTAAAGCTGTTGGTATCGCTCACAAGCCGCCTCGTAGCCTGTAGTGCGAGAATAGTCATAGACAGACAGACACACAGAACGACTACCGTAACCCTCGCTGCGCATGCGCGCCGAGGGTTAATAAGTAGTCCTTGGTGTAGTCGACTTGTTTGCTTTGCCTTTGCCTTTCTGCCTCACCTTGTTGTTGTCACATGCGTGGTGGAGCAGTTAAAAAAACGATACTTCCCTAGTACTTTCAGTGATGAGTGACCTTTTCAGGGGGTGAGACTGCAAACCCTCGGCACAAGGAACGTGCTCACGTGTGTTGTTTGATTCCCATGTGCATAAATAATTGACGGACTTGACCACGCCATGCAAACCTGAGAAACAGAGTTACCTGTTACATGGCACTTTTGTTCTGCAGTGTTTGACAAAGAAAAAGAAATTGCAAGTGTGAAGATTGATCAGTTGCAGAAAGAGTACGTTGATATCTTGGTTTGTGCTGGCGAAGTGTTGAATAAGAATGTTGCAGTTAAGAATTTGCGCTACTCACTTCTCTCTCTTCCACCCAACCTAAAGAAAGTGCATGAAAAGTTCATCACAGAAGCGAAAGCCCAAATGAAAAAGGCTGAGTTAGCTGAAGATATAATTGAGCTTATTGCGGAACATTTCAACTATTTGCACTTCTCACTGCTAAAGTATGTCATTGATATCTATGGTAATGATGATCTGAAGAAAAAAATGACAGATTACGTGAATCAAATGAGAAAATTCAGAGAAGAAACCAGACTAGAAGTTTTTTCGGATGTTTGCGCTGATGAGCCAGAAGATATCAACGGAAGGTTCACCACGATGGTTAGCAAGCACCAAATGGACTGGAGAACTGCTACACTGGAAGATGTTGAGAAGTTTCGCATTCAAGTCTGCCGGGAGCTGTCCTTGTATGACTTCTCCCTCAACCTCGCTAAAGTGGCTCGAGGGTGTGTGGAGGTGACATGGCGGGTTCCTCGTTCTCTGGTGACCTACATCCAGAACTCTGTCAAGCCCAGCAGTCAGAGCATGATGGAGCATCACGTCACCACTCTCGCCATTGACGGATTCATCGTCTACGACTCCTCTTTCGGTAGTCTGTTTTTGTTTCATAGTGAGTTGTGCTTTACTTTGCTCATTACAGCCATGCAGTTGGAGTACAAGGTGATTCGACTAGGGTTTCAAGCTATTGATACCAATTACAGCTACCTGTTGGAGGAGATGTCACCAGATGAAGTAGTTCCACACCTGGTGCAGCGAAGGCTGCTGACACAGCCAAAAGGAGAAGAAGTTTGGGCAAAGAGCAGTCAACTAGAGAAAGTGCATATAATAGTAAAGGCACTCCAAGACGCTAAGAATACAGTTATTGGGATGTTCCCAACATTCTGTATGGCTTTGGCTAATGCAGGACAGTTACATGTTTCAGAGAGGCTCCGTAACAGTGAGTTCCTAAAACATTATACATACATCAGTCAAGGTCCTTCATTCTCAGAGTTCCAGAGTCTCCTGAAAGGCGAGGCAGTCTCCCACCAACAAGAGGAAGATGAAGTCATGATCTCTGGAGAGTCGAATACCCAGCTCTCTCCTCCTCCAGATAGCCACCTCGTCACTGCTCAATTGGAGGGTTATACCCTCACAAGAGCACAGTACAACACCGTACACAGCCTCACCAGCTCCCTACTGTGTATCCCCACTGGTGATCTGGTGTATGATGGCCACACCCTCAATCCTCTCACTCTTCACTGGCACTACTATAGTCCTTTTGATAGCACATTCTCTTTTCTCTCTCATTGCACTGCAATGGCACAGGAGGGTATTAGAAAATTATCTGTCAGAGGAAAGGAGATTATCAGTCTTGATTTAAATGTAAGTGAAACACTGTATGGATTGTGTGCCAATTTTATACACTCAATGCCATCACTGGTGCCCATGTATACACAGGAGATCGGTCTTCTCAATGCTGCTTGGGATGGGGATATGGAGTCATTGGATTACGCTCTGGGAGCTGGAGTGCCAGTTGATTGTCGGACTATTGTAAGACACTAGTGTAAATCTGAGTTCTTTCTCTGACTCAGAAATAATATGGCACTCAATTCAACACTACTTTTTTGGTTGGCAGTCACTTGCTGTACACTCACTATAGCTTGTGTAGGGAAGTCTGTCTAAGTAACATACAAGAAAAATGTGGCACAAATTGTAAAATTGTGGATATGGTACTTATCATGCAACAATTCTAAGGCACATTATGGACAATTGGACATAGAAGAGGACCTGCAAAAATTTATATTTGGAGTGAGCCTGTGTTTTATAGGCATGGCGTGTCTACTGACA